TATATATATATATATATAAACTTGGGATCATGTGAGACCAAGAGTTTTTCGTAAAACTCGTAAGACTAATTCTCAATCATTGGATTGGATTTACAATCTGAACATTCATAATCACAAAATTGCCACGAGACTTCTCAATAATCACAAAATTGATACCGTACAACTTTAGGTCATTAGCTTATAAAGTTGATCAATGAACATAAACTGGTCTTACGGGTCTCGCAAAAACTCTTGGTCTCACGTAAATCCAACCCTATATATATATATATATATATATATATATATATATATATATGTGTGTGTGTGTGTGTGTGTGCGCACATATATATACACGCATGCACACGCACACACACACATGCACACGCTCTTAAATAAGCGGTGCAATCGGTTAAACCATCAATTTAAAATATTTAAATCATAGACTATAGCGAACTATAAAAAATCGTCCAATTTGGTCCCATCCAACCAATACGATGCACTGTTTTTTTTCTAAATACTTTTACAGACAGTTGAAATAAATATAACAAAAAGGTTAAAAGATGAAAATAAAACTCAACCTTTGGTATTTATTTTAGTTAATAAAAATAAAAAAGTTGATATAATTTGATTTTTATTAAAAAATTTATCATATTTTAGATAAAAATTAAATTTTATTTATTAAAAATGCATGGTTTTAATTCATTTATTTATTACTTAATTTTCAAAAATTTAAATGCTGGTCAATGTTCGGTGTTGGAAGGATGATTACGGGGTTGGACCAACGGGCTCTCATTAGGTTTCTTTTCACGGGTGAGAAAGCGACTTAAAGAAAAGAGTGAATTACATCTTTGGTCCCTTGTTTATTGTTGTTTTTATATTTTAGTCCCTACAATTCATAAAATACATTGTTGGTTCAAATTTTGTGTTTACAGTCCAATTTAGTCTCTCCTGTTAACTAATGCTCCATTAGCTACCTCACATTACCCCTCACATGAGGGCAATTTGGTCATCTTACCCTTCTTCCTTCCATTCCCTTTCCTCCTCTACCAAGCACAGACACCACTGCCACCCACCATGGCCACAAACCGTCAAACACATACTCAAAGTTAAAAAAACAAAATCAACAACCAGGGACGGACCTATAAATTTTTTCAAACGGTAGAACCATTTGACTAAGAAAAAACTATGGAGAAAAAATTTCAAAAGATGACACCATTTGACTATAAGAAACAAATATATGAAATTTTTTTCAATCGGTGGCATCGTTTGACTAAGAAAATGACACTAACATGATTTGAATTTGGGTCTGGGGTGGAATAAAAGCCTTGAAAACCAACTCTACCAAATAAAACTTGTTCTCATTGTAGTTTCAAAATGCATACGGTGGCATACAACAGATTAATACGGTTGCACCTTTCACGAACCTAAAAAAAATTACCCTTCAACGTAGGAATAATACGGCGGCACATGCCACCTTAACCACCAAAGTAGGAACGTGAGCGTAATCAGGAATCAACCCTAGATTCACACAAATCGGATTAATACAAAGAACCTAAAGAATGTAAATCTAAATCTAAATAAAAAGAAGAAGAAGTCCTGAACCAAAAACCTAGATCTCTCTCTCTATACATATGAATTTGGATTTTCAACAAGCAAATCAAACATGAAATCGCCTGGAATCAAAATGTCTAAATCTTCGTCTTCGAAATTATCTTCGTAAATCCAAATCATCGTTTAAAATCATCTTCGTAAACCCAAACCATCGTTTGAAATTGTCTTTCGCACTTGACCTTGATCTTTTAATTGTGTGTTCTTCATTCGAATCATTTGAAATCAAAACCATCGAGTTCGTCAACCAAAACATCGTGTTCAAAATCATAATCCCATCATTGTGGGAGGGAGGAGGTTTTGCCGGTGAAACAGAGAGGGTGTAGGGTTCACCGTCGGGGTTCGCTGAAGAAACGAAGCCAAGGACTGGGGGAGGATTTCACGGGGAAATTTATGCATTTTAGAGGTATATGGAGGGCTTATGAAGAGCTTTATGGAAGGCAATTTAACTTTGGAAACTTGTTTTTTCATTTATTTTATAATTAAAATACTAATATAGCTTCTTTTAAATAAATTAAAGTTATGGGCCGTTTACAAATTTTTTTTATTAAGTCTTGTATGAATAAATTTATCTGTCCGAATAAATTTGTTTGTCTGGTTAAATGGGTGGTGTTCTTTACTTTTTTTATTTGAATCAACAGTCTGAATAACATAAATGACCGATTTACCCCCAATATTAATTATTTAAACATCAAAACAAAAAATCATAAAAAGACCGACGATGGAGTGTCTCATATGGGAAGGAGCGGTGCTTTAAATAAGGGGTATAGTGTCATTTTTGTAGCTGAATAGGGACAACACATCATTTCTATCTGTGCGATTAAGCCATAGTCTATGCGAATAAGCCGTAAGTAAACAACTCAAATGAGTTGTGCGAATAAGCCAGATAAACCAGTAAGCCTAATTAAGCCGCAAGTAAACAACATCTTAGTTAAAAAGACTAAAATACACCTCTCATGAGGGGCACATGATATACACAACAAAACCTTTAGTAACAACGCTATTTTCAAAAACTAGTCTGGATTTTGAAACATGAAAAATGGACCAACAATGTACTTTACGAACCGTAGGAACGAAACCAAAAATACGCAATAAACAAGGGATCAAAAATGTAATTCATTCTAAAGAAAACATATGTTACATTAATTTAGTTATTTTTTTATTTTTTAAATCAACTTTTCATTTAATATATGACTTAAATTATACTTTTCACTAAAAACAAACTCAAAAACCAAAATATATGTAAAATTAAAAGTGAACTTTACTCATGTTACAACAATTAATTTTATTATAACATCACCGATTTATGTTACAACGTTATACTTTTAATTTTAATATTTTTTTTTCATTTAAACATTATAAATTTAATCAAATATGTTTACTAAAAATCATAACATTAAATTGTATTGGTGACGCCTGTATGTGTTAGCTATTGTGGTTTGTTTGCAGAGTTTTAAGAGCGGGTGTTTCTTTATTTAAAAAATATAATATGATTGTAGATTTGTCAATGCTAAAAAAAGTTACCGATTTGAGTGTCTCTTGCCTTCTATAATATGTCAAAAAACGAAATTATAATATCAAATAATATTTATTATAATTTTTAGTAAATATATTTGATTAAATTTATAATGTTTAGATGATAAAAATATTAAAATTAAAAGTACAATGTTGTAATAGAAATTCGTGATGTTATAATAAAGTAATTTTGAAAGTACAATGATATAATAAAAAAATGTCATGTTAGCATATCGTACATGTGAACAACCTACGTGGACAATAAGATGGTAAAGAACCCTGGTATAATGTGTAAATTTAATTTAAAAGATTACTCAATGCTATAACGGGTA